ATCGTACAGAGTTATAATAGTTATTTTTCAACTTATTGTATTTTAAATGAAATTTATTTTAATATATTATGTATATTATATAGGTACTTGACAACCAAGCTCGTCGTTAGATTGACAAAGTTAAAGTCCCTTGCCTCAAAATTGTGATTTGACAAATTTTATTTAATGTTAAAATATTTTGCTGTGTATTATTTATTGTTGTTTCGTTTTATTAAGGTACCATTTGTATAAAAAGACTACCAAATTTTAATTATTTGTGGTATTTTACATTAAAATATTTGGTTATCACATAGTAACTCGTAAATGAGTAGAAGGGTGGCCTGTGTATACAGGGTGTTAAAAAAAAGAGGAAAATATTTAAGGAGGTAATAGTATGAACCAAAATAAGCAGAAAAGTCTTAATAAACATGGGTCCGCAATGTAACGGTTGCGGAGATATGGAATGTTTTATGTTTTTTAGTCCCTTTTTTTATTTTGCAAAAACGTTGTGTATTTTCTTATAATAGTTGGTTGATGTTTAGTGAAATAAACAGTACGTATTTGACAGTTGTTCTCAGTGCACAAGTTTTCTTTCGCTATGGCTGGTTACTCTAACGCAGAATTAACAGACATGCATTTCATGTATGGTCGTGCTAATGGGAACGCCACCGAAGCGCGACGTCTTTATGTTGACGCTTATCCAAATCGCCAGATTCCTTCACAACGCATGTTTGGAAGAATTCACCAAAGATTGCGTGATACCGGTTCCTTGAGCAAACAGTGCCATTTATCCGGAAGACCAAGGTCGGTATCCACTCCTAGAGCAGAAGAAGAAATTCTAGCACTGGTAGAGCAGAATCCAGGTACGAGTGTGCGGAGAATATCAGCCGAGGTAGGAATTAGTGGTCCTCTTGTTTGGAGAATCCTTCACGAGCAACTGCTTTATCCATACCATGTGCAACGAGTACAGGCCTTAAATCCAATAAATGATCATCAAGCACGTTTGGTTTTTTGCCGCTGGTTTCTACGTCATGATGCTGAAGACCCTCGTTTTCTTGCAAACATTCTTTTTACTGATGAGGCCGGGTTCACAAGAAATGGAGTGTTTAATTTTCACAATACGCATATTTGGGCCGACGAAAATCCTCATGCTCTAATAGAATCTGGACATCAGGCACGTTTTTCATTAAACATTTGGATGGGTATTGTAGGTGACAGGTTTCTAGGTCCTGTTGTTTTACCAAACCGATTAACAGGCGCTGCTTACCTCAACTTTCTGCAGAACACACTGTATGAGTTTTTGGAAGACATTCCTTTGAATCAGAGGCAACAAATGTGGTTCCAGCATGATGGTGCTCCAGCTCATTTTTCCATGGCCGTTAGAGAGCATTTACACCAAACTTTTCCACATAGATGGGTAGGAAGGGCCGGACCTGTTTTATGGCCTCCAAGATCGCCTGATCTGAACCCTCTAGATTTCTTTGTTTGGGGATATTTGAAGACATTAGTGTATGGTACTCCTGTAAATAGCCTGGAAGAGCTGCAGCTACGGATTAATCAAAAGTGTCAAGAAATCCAAACCAAGGAGGGTGTTTTCGAAAGAGTTCGAATATCGTTGAGACGAAGATGTCGTGCCTGCTTGGATATGGATGGAGGGCACTTTGAAACATCTTCTGTAACTTTGTTTTTTGTTTGTTAAAAGCTTCCTTTGTCGGTTTATTCCTAATAAATAAAATGTTTGAAAAACGAATAGTGGTCCATATCTCCGCAACCGTTACTTTGCGGACCCATGTTTATTAATACTTTTCTGCTTATTTTGGTTCATACTATTACCTCCTGAAATATTTTACACTCTTTTTTAACACCCTGTATGTCGATAAAAGAATAAAAATTGGAATTGTATTTGAGATGCCTTTCTTTTAATTATTTACAAATTAATTTTTTTTCTGCATTTTATATAAATATATTGACGATTTTACCCCCAAATGACCGTTGATTTCTATACTTTATCAATCTAAAGACAATACAATGGCCAAGTAGCTTAAAAAAGATACTTGCATTAAATACAACAAAATTATGATCCTAGGTATAACGATTGCGATTATTTCTGAAATAATTTGCATGTATTTTAAAACATTTCTCAGTAAGTTTATTTAACATGGAATGAGATAAAAAATAAGAGACATAAGAGGGATTCTTCTAGGTCTGGTAAAATTGTAATACAAAAAAAAAGTTTCACCAAAGTAAGTTTTATTGTTGTTTTCGATTATACAGCGTGTACTTTTTCTTCTGGGCGTTACCTAACTGATTTTTTTTTAATGGATCGCCTTATTATTGCATTTTTTTAAATTCCTATTTAAGACTCAAAAACAAACATTGGGTATAGACCCGTTTCAGTATTTTATGTTTAAAAAAATGGTATTTGTAGCATCCTCGAGATATTAAATAATAATTATATAATTATTATGAAACTAAACATGATGACAAAGTGCGGGTGTCACAGTTTGTTCAACCATGAAAACAATTGTATTACTTATGTGTATTAAAATGATTTATTTCAAGAGTAGTTATGGACTTCAGATGTTCAAAGTTTTCAATCACAACTATTCTGAATTTGTTAAATGGAATTGTTAGATTTGACACAGGCAGTTGCAAGGACTGGAAAACATGAAAACATGAAAACTGGAATTTCGCCTTAGCGGTTTTTTATGTATGTACAGGGTGATTCACTATATTTTGACCCCCCACTTAACTTTTTTGTTTTAAGAGTTATAAAAAAATGTGAAATACAAAAGTTGCTGGATTTTTTATGAGTTTTCGAAAATGATAGGGTTTGTTGGGTTCATCTGTAACAACAAGCGAGATAATATTAAAAAATTAAAAGAAGGTTTTTTTATTAAGAAAATAAGACATCTTGTAATTGTTAGCCATTTCTGCCTTTTGTTCAATTACGTAAGGATTTACGAATTCAGTTACATATCGGACATTGATATGGTCCAAAATGCGTATAGGTATTTTTAACTAAATCGCACTAATTAGGCCGTGAGAGGCCTATTTACTCATGGACAATGTTATATGGTAGGCCGTGACAGTGACAGGTGATGTTATAACATCGTTTTTGTTTGACAGTTTGTATTATTATTTAATTAAAATGGGTTACACAGAAGTAGAAAATTGAAAAATGATAGGAATTAAAATAGAGTAAGTTATTCTCCATGCTCTATTTTAATTCCTAATAATATTTAAATTTTCTAGTTCTGTGTAACCCATTTTAATTAAATAATAATACAAACTGGCAATCATTAACAATGTTATTATGACATTACTACCTGTCACTGTCACGACCTACTATATAACATTGTCCATGAATAATTAGGCCTCGCACGATCTAATTAGTGAGATTTAGTTAAAATACTTATACGCACTGTGGACTATATCAATGTCCGATATGTCAAATTATATTACAACTAAATCTGTAAATCCTTACGTAATTGGATTTTCTTAATAAAAGAAAACCATAAAAAATCGTCCAACTTTCGCATTTTTTTATAACTTTTAAAACAAAAAAAAAGGGGGGGGGGTCAAAATATAGTGAATCACCCTGTGCATGTAGTATGTATAGTTAAAAATTGGATGCTATATATTATTAGAATTTTCAGTCAGAATGGACTGTAAAAATTATATTTGGGCATTGGTTAAAATAAAACTATTACAAATTTTAGAGAAATATGTACAAGCATGTGAAAATAAATTTCTCACAGTCATAATTTTTTGAAAATATAATAATAATTAAAGTAAATAAATTACACAAATTTGTTTAAAAAATAATAAAGTATAGTAATCGAAATGTCTATTTTTTTTCTAGGCATGGAATATGTTTCTTATTACCTATATTAAATTCTCAACATTCTCATGAATTTCATGTGTACCTGCCTAATATCCTTGAGAAATTTTTTTTTCTAGCCGGTCTCATTCAATTCATATTATGTGAAAAATGTTGGTTTAAAACATTATTTTTACTGTTTTATATCGGAAACAGTACTATTAGGTATCTGGCATCCAGTTCTTAAAAAGTAAACAGGAATAAAAAATATGAAAAATCGTGAATATCAACTATAAGAAATAGACTGCAGCATACCTCAATAAAGGCGAAATAAATTCAGTTTTGCATGTGTCTATATTACATTTAATATGTCTCCATAAAAAAAAATAATAAAATAACTGTCACTGAAAATTTTAACTTTCGAAGTCCATGATTAATATTTTTCTAAATACCTACCTGTGTTAAGTAACGTTTACTGTCAGGGATGTTTGTTATTTTGCTCCAAGCATCATTTTTTTAAAACATCAAATGACACCGAAACAGTACGACTTGAATCCACTATTTGTTTAGTAGTAGATTTAGTAGGAAAAAAATGTAGATAGGTAATCCTGAGAAGAAATAGGACATTCCAAATAATTTTTAAATGTAAAAAATTAGTTTGTACATTTTTTTATGAAATATTTTTTGGATTATTGAATTATCACGGTTATCAAGGAATTCGGTTTATGGGTCACATCCAGTATGAAGAAGAAAAAAGTTGACATTACATTTACACCACCTGTAAGATGTAACCAGCGATCTCTATCGAGAGATGTAGTCGTACTAAAAAACATGTGGGACTTGATTAGTGAATTGCCAAAACCAAAAAAATTACTTTGACGCCCTGTATTCTGTAAATGAGCAACATTTTGATTGGGTCATGTTTAGTTCAACCAATCGACGTATTTTAATTTTATTAAAACATTCTCCGTAACAAAAAAGGGCAAAAAATCTTTAATTTTATTTAGATACATTATTTAGTCAACAGGAGCGTAACTTTGAAATTGCTGTATCATAACTCAAACGTTATAAACTCCAGACGTGTTTACTTTAACCCGATAATTAATTTGGTTCGTGAACTAACCAGTAAAGAATTTAGATAAACTTGTGGGATGTCACTATAGGGGTCGACAGTTCTAACTTTTTGTTTCTTTTGCAGGTCCGAATGGTTGTCCGAGGCGACGAGGCAGGCAAACATATACTCGTTTCCAGACATTGGAGCTCGAAAAAGAATTTCACTTTAATCACTATCTGACACGAAGGAGACGTATTGAAATAGCACACGCCCTTTGTCTCACAGAGAGGCAGATTAAAATCTGGTTTCAAAACCGACGGATGAAACTGAAAAAAGAACTACGGGCAGTTAAAGAAATTAACGAACAAGCCCGGCGGGAGAGGGAGGAACAGGAGAGGCATAAACAACAGCAACAAGAAAAGCAGCAAAAAATCGAACAGCAAACGCACTCTTCACTGCACCAGCATCATCACGACCCTATGAAAATGAGTTTAGAAAAAACCGGTGGATCTGATTTACTGAAAGCAGTATCGAAGGTTCCAACATAAAAAAAATGATCGTGACTACATTTTGGACTTTGTGCTACAAACAAGACAAGTGAAGTGTAGTAAAATCGGTATTATGCGTAAATAATTTTTATAAAGACTTCCATGAAGCGTTTTATGAAGTTATGTTTTTATAAGCTTCGTTGTGTTTAATTCGTTGTACATAGTAGTAGTGTGTTCACGTTAATATTTTTTATACTTAAAATTAATTTTATAGTACTTTTTTAAGTTATGTTATTATTATTATTGATCAGTTTTCTGATCTAAACTCATTCGCGTTATTTTACGTACCATTGTTGTGATTAATAATTAATTAAGTTTTAAATCCGCATTTTAAAATGCAACTATTTTTGATTAAATTGTTTCCCAGTGGTTTATTTTAAATAAATGGTGACTGATATCTAGTTGGGGTAACGTGAAATTATTATTAATTGATAGATAAAGAAATATATTTCTTGTAAAACTAAGCAAATAAATTTATGAGCAATGTAACTAGCAAGTCGTGGGCATTGTCAGATGGTAGAACATTATTTACGTCATTAATTTATTGATATTTTTCTGAAAGTGCAATGTTATTCATATACGTACTATTACTGGGCAGTTTTAATTACCTCAAAGTGATAGCAGTTAACCATGTTTGTTATTTGTTACGTTTTCTTTAGTTTTTAACCTTGTGCCAAGCTTTTCAAGCAATCCGCCATATGATGACAAAATATTGAATATATTTTTTCATAGAATTTAACTAATTCCAAACAGTAAAAATTGCCGAGTAAATTTACTCTTAGTACTCTTATACGTAATTTGGTGTCAGGGTAGAAGAAACCTAAAATAACATTTTAGTAACCTAAACAAAATTAACTCTTTAGTCATAATATGCGTATAAAAACTCTTCTTAATAATAAAATAGCTCTTGTCGTATAACTCCCTTCGTCTATCTCGTGTAAAATATTTTCTTAGATTATTGATGTTGTTTTGTGAATACTATGTAATAGTTTGTTGGGGCTACAAAGCCTTATCCACAATTAGATACGTAAAATTGTACAATATTTTCAAAAAATACACAAATTGTAAATTTAATAATGAAATGTACATTTTTGTTTAATATGTAAAAATATACACGTATACGCGAATTTTGTTGGTTTTTCTTGAAGCTGAGTTGTTGCATCCTTACGCATTGGTTTACGAACAACGCCAGTTTGGGTTTCAAGTTTAATGATAGTAAAATCACTTTATTAGCTGGTTTCCTCCATAAGATTAACCATAACTATCTTAACTATCTTACACGTAAACATAGCTTTTAAAGTGTCTTTATCGTTATTAAGGTGGATTGTTATAGGGTGAGTAACTTAATAATTAAAATTCTTTGGTATAGTGAAGATGTAAAAATGATTTGGCTAAAAATGATAATTTTTAACGGTTCATGATATTGTACAAAGCAAACTTTTGTAAATATTTAAATAGCGCTACGTAGGCGTATTATTATTAATTCTTTTAATATTCAAGCAACTTGGACTGATTAATGCTTTAAAGAAAAAGGCTTAATATTACCTGTAGATTAAAAATAGAAAGAAACCAGTATAATGTAGTACAATTACCTTTAACTTGCCAAGAAGATATTCATAATTTATATCTATATTTTGTGGTACTATAGACACATTACTTTTTACTCAAAATATCATCCGGCCTCCCCAATTCTGTATGAATGTATTTGTTTGAATGTGTTCAGCGATATTTTACAATGTTTAATAAAATTACCGTCTATACAAGTATTAAAAAAATATATTTTAATCAAATAAAAGAATTGGTTTCATGTGTTTTTTAAACGCATTATTAAATTTTGTAAAATAGTAGCTTTTCTTAGCCTGTGATAGAAACTACACATCTTTGAAAAACCACATTTATTCTGGTCACTTTTAATACTCTGAAAAATTTCTGGATGTACCATTAAGTTTACATTGATTTATCCATTATAAATATTGTTACAAACTGTAACGCGAATTTAAGTGCAATATCATATCATATAACTTCTCGTTGTTTTCGATAAAGTTTGTTGATTATTATTTATTATTAGAATAGTTTAAACATGAGTGCAATCTTCAGTCGTTTAAAAAATAAACGATACAGAGCATAATTTGGTACAACTTCGTTAAGTTTTTGTTTGCAAATTATTATAAATTCAATGTAAACTTAATACAAGGGTGGTTTGATTAGTGCAAGTTTGTGTTTGGAAGTTTTTTGCATTTGATTACCCACACTCCTGTAAATCTTAATCAGATCACTAGATTCACCGGAATAATTTATAAAAATTATTAGATCATATCATTTTAACACAGTGCGATTGTAATTAATATAGAAAGTCTGTATGATTGTACTTTACCGTAATTTATAAAATGTTTATATTATCGTAAGTAGTGTAAGTGTACATGTTTCGTATTTGTATGATGTATAACTTACTTCATACGCTCTCAAAGCCGAATTATTCTGAATGTACTATAAACAGTTGAACGGTAGCACTATATGTATATATAGTTCTACTTTTGCTTTGATGCCATGTTTCTTATATAACTGTATAACCTAATAATATGTATTGTACAGATTGTCTGAACTGAATAAATATTTCTTTGGAAAGTAGTTTTTCATGGCAATGCATCCCCCTAAAAATTCATTCATTAATCTAAAAAAAAAATCTCTTGAACCTTAATGCTTACTACATATCTGTAAATTTTAGGAATATAACACTTACATAATGTACAAAATTTTATTATTTTTTTAAACACTAAAGCTATGTTCTCTAGTGGTAAGATGTGTATTATCAAATGTGATAAAACTTGTTAAAATAGCAACTGAGGAACTTGATTTTGTTGGTTCGTAGAAGAGTTTCGAAGAAATCAGCATTTAATACTTCTACATTCCTCACAAACCGTGAGGAATGTTCCCTTTCCTCTGTTATAAAGTATTTCAAAATATTGCATCCAGTAAAGTGTCACAACTTCTATTTGTAGTATTTGTTTTTATATTTCCTAAGTACATAAATCATTATTGATTACTGTGGCTAAGTGACGTATTTTTCCTTATTCATATTATGTTGTGGACAAAGACATAATGACGAGTTTCATTTCTTTCCTTTCAATGAAGAGTGATCATTTTCCATTAGTGTACGCTAACGATTAACGGATTCTGTGTAGGTGTAAAAATTATTAAATTAATACCTCGTTCACTTTGGTATTACATTTTTTTCAGGCGTATTTACAAGTATTTCTTCATTTGAAAGTAGGTAAGTATGCCATATGAATTTAGTTTAGAATCTAATAATTTAAATTATATAGTAGGGTAGCATAAGATTTAGAATAGACAAATTTTACTATCCTATATACTATCACTATATTATTGTGATACTTTTTGTTATATCGTTATTACTGGTCCGTCGCGATTTTGTTTGCTTTGAACTTGTTGATACAAAACTACGTGAATGAGCTGATAGATAGATATTAAATTCCGACACTTATTTGTTGATACTTTATTTTATTGATATACGCGGTGTTCGGAAGCAACATAACTTCAAGGGTAGTTTCCTTGAATGAGATAAACTAATATGTGTAATTTTACTTCCATTATAGAGCCATATGCCTTCAAAACAATGTTTTTTATTTTAACTTCGTCAACTTGCCGTCAAATTATTTCAATTTTGGGGTAGATTACTAGAGTAGATAAGGATGAACATGACATTTCTTACTAGAACGTAGGTCGCTAAAAAACAATTTTTTAACATATATTTTTTTTGTTCGTAGAGATTTTGATAAAAAATGAATTACCTAATGAAATTCACTTTAAAGCAGGTATACCTACTTTTACATGTCATTAAAATACATAATTCTAAAGAAAAATTCATTTCAATTTTCTACTGCTACGAAATAAAAGTTTTTGACATTCTGCCATAATCTTATTAAACATGATGTGTAAACTTTGCATCTAGCTATATTTATATATTTTTCCGGCTAAGACTAACATCTATTCGAATATCAGCGTTTAATGAGATGTGATTTTGCGGACCAATATTAGGAAACCTATGTCAATACTTTTGAATAAAGATAAATTGATCAAAACCGTAAAAAAGCATAAAATTACCAAAGATCAAGTTTCATTAAATTAGAATACCTACAAAAATTCAACACAACTGCTAGACGGTGCAGAATATTTAAATTCAATTTTCTCTGAAACTATGCGATAAGTATACCTACGTTTAGTAAATATAATACATAAAACAACTATAAGTAGGATCGTATTCGATGCAAAGTAGAGCAAAAAGTTGTCGATCTTTTATCAAAGGAAAATCGTGTCATCATTTTTAGGAGGCGTAAAATGAACCATTTCAAATTTAAAATGAAATTGAATGTTAAATCTGAAATACCGCTGCATACGCACTGTGTTCTGGTAGTAGATGTAGTCGCTCAGGTGCATCGAGGGTACGAAGTGGTCGGTTATACGTCAAAGACTAACCTGGCGAGCTTGAAACAGAGAGCGCCTTCAAAAAACAAGTAAACAATAGTGGCGCGTACAGAGGTAAAATGTAGTACATATGTGGAAATTAAAAAACAAATTGGATATATAATAAATTACATTTAAAATAAATAGTTTATGAGAATAAAGGAATTTTTGTAGGAACAAGGGTGCCAGACGTGAACTGATCCCTTCGTCCCTTCATAATGTATAAAGAAATTATTCAATTTCTAAAACTTTTAAAAGCGTATGGCACTGGATCCCTTGACAGGCAATGATTTATTACTTTGCATCGAATATGATCCTACTACACATTTTCTCAAAATCGCTGCTAACGCCTCCTTCGATTTTCACTGAAATATCTAAAAAGGTAAGAGTATTTTAAAAAATATATACCTAATACAACTTATTTTTCTAGCCTATAAGCATTTAAGGAAGTGAGATATAAACAAATTCAACTTAAAAGTTAAACGAAATTTTTTTAAATCTTTCTTGAATTAATATTTTTTTATTCAGAAACCAGAATATTTTTTTAATTGGATAGCACGTTTTCCTAAAATTACAGTAGTAAAAGGTTTAAAATACTTATTAACATTATTCGAACCATTAGAGGTACAGCCAGCAAACCTTATATCACTGCAGTCCTAAGTGTTATATCCAATAAGTAGAAATATAGAATATGCAGATATTATTTTTAAAGAAATATTTTTAAAACTATACGTTTATTACACTGAGCTACTTTCACTTTAACAGTCATATATTTCGTTAAATATTCATTCAAATTAACATAACACTAACGCACGAAAACTAGTGCTAATAAGCTGTTTATTCTGTAATTAAACAATTAATCATAGTTAACTTTCAATTCAAATAATGGAAGTAGCTTGATTTAATTAGGCTTTATGCCTATATAATCAAGAAAATTAACGAATAATCATTTATTTATGTAATTTACATAATGACAGAATAAAATTTATTTTGAAAGGTCATCAAGGCATTTGTTCAATTACCATTTTTTTGATAAATACACAAGAATTATCTAAATGAGTTGAAATTATAGAAGAAATGAATCTGTGTACCTATTAATCGTACTTTTGAGTTGAGTCTTTGATGATAAGACGTCGAGGTAGGGCCACTTCGGGGTTTGCATGTGGACCGTAGATCGTTTTGTTAGTCAGTTCACCTCACGTGTCGATATGACTCACTACATGTATTTAATTTATTGTATCGTCATAGGCATCGCGTAAAAGAAGACGAAGAAAAAAGCTATAAACGATAGGTTAGGGAAAAAGCGGTATAATTACTGGAGATAGGCAAATAATAAATATTCTTCATACACAAATGTCAATCTCTAATCATAAGTATAAAAACAATTTTATTGTATTACAATAAACATAGTTTTGGGAAAATTGTTTCTGTATTCTGTATCGCAAAGAAAATTATTTCTTAAACAGTATTACATAGACTATTTATTATGATGTAACGACTGATTTTCAGCAGCAAGACCTCGTCTAAAATTAAAATATTTTTTAATTAAAAAAATGAACTGCATACGTGACCAAAAATATATTTTTTTATAGTTACAGTGAAGAGGGTCCGGTCAAGGAATTGCATTTTGTAAGTAGGTATGAACTAAAGAAGTAATTTAATTAGTTTAGTCACAACAAATCCATTAGAGCTTGTATGTATGCTTCAATAGAAAAAATCACTAAAAGGTCCATATGATATTTCAAAATAAAGTTATCTGTTTCAACTGTATCATATAGGCAGCCAATCTAATGCCAATCGAGCATGAGGAAAATAATTGTTTAATTTAAATATTTATTGAATTATTTGCCAGGATATTTCAAAATATGTAGTAAAAAAATCTTAATGATTGAATAAAAGTTTTGGAACTGAAAAAAGTACAATTATCCGCTAATTTATATGAGGCTTTTGAACTGATCATTGAGTTCAAAGATTTTGAACCGTCAATTTTAATGTCTACGTATTATCTAATATTATTCGAATGATTTGGTGATGCGAGGTATTGAGATCTCAAAAACTGTAGGTAATTATAGAAAAGAAGTAAGTTTTAAGCCATTCTCTTACTAACTTAACTATCAGAATATTTTCTGGTTTTAGGGATTTTGGAAAAAGAAAACTTATCTTTTTATGAACTTTTGAAATCTGTCATATCAACTGTTTGCAAAAAATTTCGCATTCACTTCTTTTGCAACTTTTATTTTCCTGTTTTTTTTTTCGGCATGTTATTGAATTTTGTACTTACGGTATATCGTAGGAAAGCTTAGAACATACCTACTACTTTCGTTCATCATATTTTTCAATACAATGACTATATGTGCGAAAAAAGTTGTAAAGAATGATGATGGATTCTCGTAATTGTTACGTTGAACCAAAAATTTGTATCCATAGTGAGATTATTTGCAAAAAGCTGCTGACAATTTTTTTTTTTTTTCTTTTCAAGACCAAAACAGTAAAAGTCGATCTACTATCACCATGAGGTTAGTAACAGAATGGTCTAAAACTTTTTCCATTTAACCGTTTTTCTGTATGTTATAGTTTCCGAGATTCCAATATAAGCATTTTTTCAGGTGCGATTTAAATTTATATCTACCATTGCATTTTATGTTGATTAAATCTGTGTAGGATGGATGGAAACGAAAAGCAAAGTGCGTAAATTTGTAGATACGGGAAGACCGACAAAAGAATTTGTGTAATATTTTCAGGAAACCCTGTAACAGTATGCAATAGTCTAGCTTATAAATATAACAGCGGAGGCAGAAACTTTAGTAGCACATTGTGGTTATTGAATTGATCAATTTAGTCCCAGTATGGACTATTCTCTCGCAGCCTAACGTGGCTTGGTGTATCCCCATGCCGAGCCAACTACGATCCAGACACGATCTGTACGACCCATCCAGCTCAGTAAAGGGCCTTATTATGTAGTAAAGGGAAAAGAAAACTGGAAGAATGTGTGTTATATGCCTGAAACATATTGTTATGCTCACTTTTTCATTATGCATTCAAATATTCCCAAATTCACAGCATTTACTGGTGGCATTCTTTCTCTTTCTTTCTCCCCGATCAAACCTCAATCCTC